ATATATGATACTGACGAAGAGATTTAAAACAAACTGCACATGTTGAAACACATTGAAATGTTTCTAAGTATGTTTCTTAGTGAATTATAGGCCACGCTCAACAAGCATATACAGAGACAATATCATAAAGAATCATAAAACAAACAAACTACATGATGAAAACAACCAAAAAAAAAAACTTTACGAAAGGGAATGAAGACAAAAGTTCAAATGACCTTACCCTTCACCCATTAAATGCCTCAGTTTAAAAACAACAAATGAGGAAAATATTGTTGAATTCTGACAATTAATTATTCCTTAATTTACCAAAAAAAACCTAAAACTTAAATTTTCAACTACAATAATGTTTTCTTACCTTAGGATTGAATTGAATGTATTGATTGTCAGGGACTATAGTTTCTTGAAGCTTTAGTTCAACTGTTACATTCGGCTGGGTCGTCATACAGGGTATAACAGCCGTATCATACTAAAATACAGGGTATATCAGCCGTATCATACTAAAATACAGGATATAACAGCCGTATCATACTAAAATACAGGGTATAACAGCCATATTATTCTAAAATACAGGGCATAACAGCCGTATCATACTAAAATACAGGACATACCATCCGTAAAGTACTAAAATACAGGATATAACAGTCGTATCGTACTAAAATACACGGTATAACAGCCATATTATTCTGAAATACAGGGTATAACAGCCGTATCATACTAAAATACAGGACATACCATCCTTAAAGTACTAAAATACAGGATATAACAGCCGTATCGTACTAAAATAAAGGATAACAGCCGTATCGTACTAAAATTCAAGGTATAACAGCCGTATAGTACTAAAATAAAGGATATAACAGCCGTATTGTACTAAAATAAAATATATAACAGTCATATCGTACTAAAATACAAGGTATAACAGCCGTATCATACTAAAATACAGGGTATAACAGCCGTATCATACTAAAATACAGGGTATAACAGCCGTATCATACTAAAATACAGGGTATAACAGCTGTATCATACTAAAATACAGGGTATAACAGCTGTATCATACTAAAATACAGGGTATAACAGCCGTATCATACTAAAATACAAGGTATAACAGCCGTATCATACTAAAATACAGGGTATAACAGCCTTATTGTACTAAAATACAGGGCGTAACAGCCGTATCGTACTAAAATACAGGGTATAACAGCCGTATCACACTAAAATACAAGGTATAACAGCCTTATTGTACTAAAATACAGGGTATAACAGCCGTATTATACTAAAATACAGGATATAACAGCCGTATCGTATTAAAAATCATATGAATTTGTAACGGTGTCCAATCTAAAGTTGTAAAAACTTTATTGAGTACGAAAATGGGCTTTGAAAATTTTATAATACATATATCTAGTTGGAGATATATATGCATAACTGCCCAAAACTTTAATATATTTGGATTTGTGCAAACTACCATCTTGACAACCCTGTGTATCATCCATACATATACAGAGGACAGGCCGGCTACAAGAGATGTATGAAGTATGTAATACGACTAAAGAGTTGTGTATGGTGTGTGTACGTGTGTATATATATATGTATATTGCACATTAACATGATATGTATATTGCATTGTATCTTTATACAGTTTGATTCTTTACTTTAACCCTAACTTGATCCCTTCAGGGGGGGGGGATGCTAAAAAATTAAAAGAACTTTTATTTTCTAACAAGATAAAAATCGAAATTTTGAAATCAAATTCCTTGATTGTATATTTACCCCTGGAGGGAACATGACAGAATAAAGAATAAAAAATTCATCTTACGAGAGATCTGAACAATTATACACGTTCTTATACAATTACAGGTCAGGGGGCATTTACAAATAGAAGGCGGAAAGAAGGACAAGAAGAAAATGTAATGAGGACAAGAAAGGTAGAAAAGAAAGACGAGAAGGTGATGAAAGAAGGACAAGAAAGATATGATCAGTCCGGAAGTACAAAAATGAGCACTGGAAATATATGAAAGGAAGGAAGGAGAGAAAAACAGGACAGGAAGGAGAGAAAAGTAGGACAGAACGATGATGCAATGAGAGCAAGAAAGATATAAAAGAGGACCAGAAGTACTAAAAAGGAAGACAGGAAGGAAGAAAAGTATGACAGTTGACGATGAGGACAGGAAAGATATAAAAGAGGACCGGTAGTACTAAAAACGAGGACATGAAGGTGATAAAAGGAGGACAAGACGATGATTCAATGAGGACAATAAAGATTTGACAGAGGACCAAGAAGTAGCAAAAAGGAGGACATGAAGAAGAGAAAAGGAGGACAGAAAGGAGAGAGAAGGAGGACAGGAAGGAGAGAAAATGAGGACTGGAAGGAGAGAAAAGGAGGAAAGGAAGAAGGGAAGTTGAGGACAGGGAGCAAAGGAAAAAATGGCAAAATAAATATCGACATGGACATAAAACATATTTGAATATAAAAATTTGTAATAAATTCCTCTGTTAATAATGTTGATACAAGTCTAAAAGGATATTATTTATTAGTCTACAAGATCAAATAAAACTGTCGCAAGCTAAAAAAAACAGAATTAAAACATTAACAGTGCATGTAACTAAGTATATAAACAAGTTACAAATATAAAAATTAGATTTTAAAAAAAGATCACCTGAACAAATTGTTGAAAGTCGAAATCATCTTTTGTAAGAAGATGAACATGGTCATATACGTAGAGATGGATCATAGTGTTAGAATCTATAGAGGTGCCATCTTCACTATCATTGAAGCTACATCGATATGTACCTAAGTAAAATAATCCTATTAACAACATTTCTATAAATCTTAGGCTTACATGGCGCTCATCTATTTAATAAATTTGTATTGTTACTCTATTTATGAGCATCTTCTCTCTAAAGTTCGCAGATTTGATATATTTCATCGATTCAGAAATAAAAATAATTTCTTTAATGCATGTTTAATATTTATATGAGATAAAAAACTAAATTTTAGTTTTATTAATTTTTTCAAATTTAAGATGTGAATTTTTGAAAAGCGTAAAATTGACAATAAAAAATATATTTTAGCATAATTTTCTAATATCTGTAAGATCCAAAAATTTTTTAGAAATTTAAAATGAAAAAAATCATAACAAAATTCATTTGCTATGACGTCATCTATTTGAATTTTATTCATATTTCGAAAAATATTTGATTAAAATATAAAATGATGAGGAGAGTAACTTGAAAAAAAAACAAGTTTGTTTCCAGGCGTGCTTTGGAATTTCAAGTCAAATAATGGCTCAGTTTATACTCGCTGCATTTAGACAATAACAGTAAAAACAAGGTTTAAATAAATTATTCTATGTATAAGGAGGTACATACAGAAATTGCAGAGCACTGTCTGTACTGTCTGTACCTGTATCTGTGTACACCATATCTCTAATGTACTGTATGTACCTGTATCTGTGTACACCATATTTCTAATGTACTGTCTGTGCCTGTATCTGTGTAAACCATATCTCTAATGTACTGTATGTACCTGTATCTTTGTACACCATATCTCTAATGTACTGTCTGTACCAGTATCTGTGTACACCACATCTCTAATGTAATTTCTGTACCTGTATCTGTGTACACCATATCTCTAATGTACTTTCTGTACCTGTATCTGTGTACACCATATCTCTAATGTACTGTCTGCACCTGTATCTGTCTACACCATATCTCTAATGTACTTTCTGTATCTGTATCTGTGTACACCATATCTCTAATGTAATGTCTGTACCTGTATCTATGTACACCATATCTCTAATGTACTGTCTGTACCTGTATCTGTGTACACCATATCTCTAATGTACTGTCTGTACCTGTATCTGTGTACACCATATCTCTAATGTACTTTCTGTATCTGTATCTGTGTACACCATATCTCTAATGTAATGTCTGTACCTGTATCTATGTACACCATATCTCTAATGTACTGTCTGTACCTGTATCTGTGTACACCATATCTCTAATGTACTGTCTGTACCTGTATCTGTGTACACCATATCTCTAAGGTTGAGACTAGCAACATATTTCCCTTCTCTGTTAGAGTGAGAAGAGCTTGTAATTGAAACCCTGAAAATATAGAATTTAATATTCTGTAAACTCTAAACTCTAAAACTAACATGCTTGGATTGAAACACACAAAAAAGTTAAAGTGTGTGAAAATAAAAAGGGGTCAGAGCTGAAAACTTTAGATTGTAGGATATCAAGATTAATGCTTAAACTCCTGGTTTTACTAAACCCGAGATTATTTTAATACGCATTCTATATCCAATTGAAAGAAGCATAACATTCAACCGATCAGCGTATCATGTAAAGATGTACTCTTTAGCTTTTGAAAACCCGGTTTTTTTCTGGTGTTAATTGTGTCATATCAACTGAGCTAAACATCGCTTAAATAAATGTAAGTTTTGGATTAATGTTTGTTAAAACTCGTTTGAAATGATGATAGTCCTAAAATGTTATATAAATTTTTCAATATGTTCATATGAACACGATTAAATTTATATTTGCTTAAATGCTCTAAAAGTTGGCTTGTGAACAACTGACTTTAATTCAATCATATATTAGTTCAATCGATACAGCATTGCATCTGTAATTGTTATCAAACGTAACTTTTATTCAGTAGGGGGTATCCTAAAAAGAGGATTAAGAATAAAATCAAAGGTGTGTACATACATTGGATACTCAGATTAAGCGATCAGGATTAAGGATATCTTATTCTAAAGTTTTCAGCTCTGATGAGGTAACCTCTTTAAAAATCAATTAGTTGATGTTTTCTTAGTGGGGAGTCAGTTAAGGGGTGAAGGGAGGCAAGATAGATAAAAAGAAAGAAAGATAAATAAATAGGCAGATAGATGGATAGATAAATATATATAGCTACATAGAAAGATAGATAGATATATTGATACATAGATAGAAAGATTTATGATAGATAGATAGATAGATAGATTGATACAAAGATAGAAAGATTTTTGATAGATAGATAAGATAGATCAAGATAGAAAGAAAATGAATAGATATTAATACTGCCAAAGGAAGATGTTTAGGGTGTCTAAAAAAATGACACAAATTGCGTATGTATGGAGAGCGGTATGCCAGACAATGGCTGAAAGTCAAATATTTTCTTTAATTATTTTTGAAATATAACAGTGCACCAACTGTTGCACGATACATAGATAGAAATATAGATGGATGGATAGACAGAAATATAGATAAATGGATATTTAGATAGATAGATGGATAGATAGATTAATAAGAAGTTCAATTTAAAAAAGTTTGAGCGGTAAGTTTACAAAGTTGTTTTATAAATTCCAGACGTATGTGCATGTAAATATACATAGATAATAAATGGAAGGGTGAAGGGTAGTTTAAAGGGAAGGGTAAAGTCAAGGATTAAAGGAAGGGTAATATAAAGGGTAGTGTAAAGGGAAGGGTGAAGAGTAGTGTAAAGGGAAGGGTGAAGGGTAGTGTAAAGGGAAGGGTGAAGGGTATAGAAAAATACAAGGGGGCAGGTGTATGATACTATAGTCTAGTTTGGGGGAGTGTGTTCTGTGTACAAGATCATATTTCACATGTTGCACCTGGACCCCCTATACTCCCCCTCACTTATTCCCCGAAACTACTTCCCCCTACCCCCTTTATTCCACAAAACCCCTTTTTCCCCTTAACCCGTTGTTTCCCCATGAATCCACAAATTTCCTAACCTCAGGATTTCTAAAGATTATAAATAATTAAAAAGGCAACTTTAGAATGTGTTGTTTGTTAAGAAACCCAAAAAGGTTACGATGATTATAAAATGCGTATTTTAATCTAATTCCAAAATCTTCCCGATATCACGATGATCTGACAAAAAGACCCGGTAAAAGTGTCAAAAATATGCAACCACACAATTCTTATAACAATTTATCGGGAAAAGTGGCGAGAAACAGAGAAGACGGTATTTTTAATGGAATAACAATGAAAATAAAAAAGGAATATATAACTAGAAGAACCCCAGATTTTGTTAGAAACAAAAAGAAGAACTAATTCTATAAAATTCCTAAAAATCCGGGAAATATTTCTATTTAAACTTTTTTTGAAAACATATTGTCATCAAAGTGATTAGGGTTTACTAAATACTTAATGAAGGACATTTGTTGAAATATGAGTACAATGAACTAATGACACAGAATTTCTGAAATTAAAAACCATAAATCTAAAGCATATTTTTCAGATTATCAGAGCATTGATGAATTAGTTATAAAAGTGAAAGGTTGAAAGGATGAATAGATGAAAGGATGAAAGGATGAAAGGATGAAAGGATGAAAGGATGAAAGGATGAAAAGATGAAAAAATAGATTTAAAAAATACATGAATTAATAAGCTGATGACTATATTAATTGATAATAAATCAATAAATAAATTAAGCATGGAATAAAATAATAATTAATTAATTAATTCATGAAAAGAAATGAATAATTAAATAAATTAAATGAACAAATGAATAAATTGCGTGAAGTGCGAATGAGAAGAATAATTTGAGAACATGGAGGACCAGCATGTACTGAAATAAAATGCTATTCAATATATATCTATCTATGTAATATGTATATGTATGACGCCCCTCCCCCCTATAATAAGGAAAAAAATATAAATTGCAAAATTTATTAAAGCGAAGAATATGTGTGACTGGGGGGGGGGGGGGTTGTATCGTTGTATGGACCAAAAATTGTAATATAATTTCCAATTCTTGAATGTTAAGAGAACATTGTAGTTGAAAATATGCTAAGTAAATAGTAAATAGTTTTATGAAAAAAACACTTAGTCGACAAAATTTGAAAATGTCTCTTGTCCAAAATCCATAACAGACCAAATTAACCTTTCATTTTCTTGTTGGTAAAATTAATTAATTCGAGGCCCCGGTAAAAAATCAAAGTGGGATATTTTACGCAAAAAGAACTCTGATATTATTTTGGTCTAAATGTGCAACATTGTAGAATGGATAAGAGATATGGCTGCAATAAGATTAAAGCTAAATACGGATAAATAAAATAAGATTAAAGCTAAATACGGATAAATAAAATGAAAAATGTAAATATCATGTCTTTATTGGTACTAGCAGTTCAATACCCAACTTGTGCAATCTTATGAATCTTCTAAGACACTAGGTTGCAAAATAATTTTGCATTCTCAAGTTTTGCATTGTTTTTGCTCGAAGAATTCCGTGTAAATCGTCAAGAATGTCGCGATATTTCAGACATTTCAGTGGGGCCTCAAAAAAGACAACTTCACTGTTATATAAATAGCAGATTTTAGGGAGAAGGTTTTCAGGGTACCATGGTGGATCTGACCTGCCACTCTATAAATAGAGTGGCTACAAAATGTCGACTACTACAAAACGTTGAAAAGAATCTGTTAAGCAATTTTCTCTCGAATTTCGACATTGTCTAACCTGTCGACACTTTGTAGTATTCGACCATTTGTTATTCGATGTTTTGTAGCAGTCGACTTTTTTTATATCATCGACGTTTTGTTATTCGCCTTATTGATAATCGACGCTTTGTACCCACCATTATAAATAGAGAGTTGCGTCAGATTAAAATAAATAAAACATAAAAAATTTCTTTCACATTGGTCGGAAACGATGTTAAAATTAGGGTTTCCAGCAGAAGCAAAATTTTCTTCGTTTTCCACAAAAATTTTCGCAATTTCTTCGTGGAATTTTCTTTTTTTTGGTAAATTTTCGCATTTTTTGTTTCACGCAAATTTTTCCATTTCGCTCCTAGTTGAGACTCTTGGGTTGCCTCTTACCTGTCTCCTATACTGTTACTCCCAGTCGGTAGAAACCAATTCACGCTCTTGTGTCCCTCACACGTTAGAGTTATATTCAACCTAGGCACAGGCAGTGTTGTTATTAGTTTTGGACATAGATAAATAAATAAACATAGATAGCTTATGTACGCAAAATTACCAAGAATTGTACAGTTCGCGAAATCATACTTCTAGGGGTCAAAGTGTACTTCAATGATAAGCGGGGTGGTTTGATGTTTTAATGGATTTCATGATAGAGTGTAAAATAACTCCGGGAATGGAACTATTTGAACAACAATATTTCACTGAGCAATATATCATATTGACGAGAACTGAAGAAGAACATGAGANAGACTCTTGGGTTGCCTCTTACCTGTCTCCTATACTGTTACTCCCAGTCGGTAGAAACCAATTCACACTCTTGTGTCCCTCACACGTTAGAGTTATATTCAACCTAGACACAAGCAGTGTTGTTATTAGTTCTAGATCGTTTTTAGAAAAAAAATCAATAAAACTTTTCAAACTGTATTAGTTTGTACCAAAGACTCAATTACTTTATTTAACAAATTTTTTATATTTTAAAATAAAATTGTAAGTATTTAAATGAGCCCAGTTTAATATTGTTTGATTACCTTGCGCTAACTGTTAGGAAATCTTGGTTAGGAAACACAACTGGAGGTCGATACTCAACATATCTAAACAAACAAAAGTTTGGATTATTTTTTTTGTTAATTTCAATTTATTTTTATATTTTATATTTTTTAGTTAGATTTTTAATAGCAATGTTTTCAGGAAAAATTTCCATGAGTATTATTTCCAGTCGTAATTATATAATTGCATGCCATCACTATATTTTACACACTCCTAGTATCTCTTGGTATAATTCTAATCTATTAATACTCCAGTATCTCTTGGTATAATTATAATCTATCAATACTCCAGTATCTCTTGATATAGTTCTAATATACCAATACTTCAGTATCTTGTGGTATAGTTCTAATCTACCAATACTCCAGTATCTCTTGGTATAGTTCTTATATACCAATACTACTGCAGTATCTCTTGATATAGCTAGTTCTAATCTACTAATACTCCAGTATATCTTAGTATAGTTCTAATATACCAATACTCTAGTATCTCTTGTTATAGCACTAATCTATCAATACTCCAGTATCTCTTGGTATAGTTATAATCTACCAATACTCTAGTATCTCTTGGTATAGTTATAATCTACCAATACTCCAGTGTCTCTTGATATAGTTCTAATATACCAATACTTCAGTATCTTATGGTATAGTTCTAATCTACCAATACTCCAGTATCTCTTGGTATAGTTCTAATATCCCAATACTACTGCAGTATCTCTTGGTATAGCTAGTTCTAATCTACTAATACTCCAGTATATCTTGGTATAGTTCTAATATACCAATTCGCCAGTATCTCTTGGTATAGTTCTAATCTACCAATACTCCAGTATTTCTTGGCATAGTTCTAATCTACCAATACTCCCAGGTTTGCACTGCCATGATACAGATCAAAGTGCAAACATAGAGATCTTATCTTTTATTTACAGAAACTAGGGTCCTTAGGGTCAATGGTGCAAAGTATTAAAATTCATCAAATAAACCCCCTAACCCCTTTATACTCAAACTAAACTCACTTGAAAAATTAAGAAATAAAAAAATGAAATTTCATGAATTATTGATAAAGTCGTGATTTGATCTAGGTCAACGAAACTATCATAATTTTTAACACGTATTTTTATAACAGGAATTGAATATAAATTTCAGTTGATTTTTGAAGAGATAAATTGTAAGTGTTAAACTTTCTTGCGCTGAACGTAATTCAAAAATCGAGTTCAAGGAAATTGCAATTTTAATTTGTGTTTGCATTAAAAATCTGGATAATTTCCATTCAGACAATATTTTAATTTGTGATGCTGCTGGTTAAGAACTATGTTTTTAGTAATTTGTGATAAGAATTTTTGCTTCATCAGCTCTGTCGACATAATATTAAATTGTTTTCCAGCTTTTTGGTCAGAGCTGAAAACTTTAGAATGAGATATTCTTAATCATGATTACTTAATCTGAGTATCCAATGGACACACTTTTGATTTTTCTTCTTAATCCTCTCTTTTTGGATACCCCTATTCCCTACTGTATATAAGTTAGTTTTGATAACAATTACAGATACGATGCTATATCGATTGGACTGATATCCGATTAAACTAAAGTTAGCTGTTCACAAGCGGGTTTTAGAGCATTTAAACAAATGTAAACTTAATCATGTTAATATGAACTTATTAAAATAATTTATTTTATTACATTTGAGGACTATAGTCATTTTGAACGTTAGTCTTTATACACATTTATCCAAAAATTACGTTCGTTCAATCAATCTTTAGTCCAATTAATATGACACCATTAACACCAGAAATGCGCAAAAAAATAAAAACCGGTTTTTCAAAAGTTAAAGAACGCATCTTAGCATGACACACTGATTGGTCGAATTTTAAACTGCTTTCTTGGATATCAAATGCGTATTAACCTAATCTCTGGTTTAGTAAAACCAGGAGATCAAGAATTGATCTCGATATCCACCATTCTCAAGTTTTCAGCTCAGATTTATTCTTTATTTTTGTATGCAACCTTCCCCTTGTTTATAGTACTTCCCTCTGAATTTACCACTTTTACATATTTCCAACATCCCCCCTACCCACCCATCCCACCAACTTTTCATATTTTCCTATCTACCCATCTCCCAAGAGAGAATATATGTGATGAAAAAATATTTAAGAAGCATAAATCATTTCACAAGAATCTAAAAACTATCTTAAACTCGCCAACGCTCATTTTTGCTATTCATAAAAATAATTTTAAGCAATATTGAAAATATTAATCTCAAGGGAAATTGAAAATAATTTAAGCATGAAATGTGTATAAAAAATTAGAATTTTAGTATTTTAGAATTATAAAAAAGATGGGCGCATAACTCGTTTAAGTCTAAAAAAATATATAGCACATATTCTCCCCTTTCAAGCTCTTGAAGCCTCAGGTATTCTTAGTTTTCACGGGGAAACAAAGGTATCTATCTATCCATCTCTCCCTCATAACTTCGTGAAGTTTTTAAACCGAAAACTGACATTTTTGAGGCATCGTATGTTCCCAGCTAGTCATTAATCTATTCATCATAAACACAAATCCTCCAATTTCGTTCTTATCACAATATCATTTACTGTACACCCAGACTGCATTCATCATGCAATTGTATGTTTATCTAGCTCAATTTAATCTTTATCTTAGGGATATACATTTTGAAGAATTATCCCCCACGAAGATTTTTTTGGGGAAAGGGATAATTTGAATATAGACTGGCAAATTTGATCCTAAATGAAAAATTCTACATCAATTGTCCCTTAAGACACATTATACAGAAGAAATTATTTCTTTTTCAAACCATAACACTTGCTAAAGAAAAATTGTTTCCAAAATGAGTGTTTTTTTGCTTTTTTTTTATATATCTCAATATCTTTTTTTTTTATTACTGACCTGGTATTACGAGCTGCTAGAGAGAGCGGGAGAAGAAGAGAGAGAGAGATCATGATTTTATTCATCTTGTCTCACCCTGCACTCGGAGAGTGGGGGGTTGAAGGTTCGGAGTTAGCTCAGGGTTGAAGATGAGTCTAATCTTGACTCAGGATCTGACTTCAGTCCCACGATTTTGTCACTTTAGTCTCACTGAAAACCCATGGTGTATCACTCGCTTTTCTCCATTATCTGCTAAGATGCGATTTTACATTTTTATTCACTGGTTGACAATCTTGGGTTTGGTTTTCTCCGGGTCCCTTGATCAACTGGTGGAGAAGGGTCAGGACGGGTTTTGCAAGGATTAGAATTGTCACATGAATATATCTGAGATGTTATCTATATACGGAGTTCACACCGTCCTGTTAACCTTTCTCCAGGGGGGGGGGGTAGTAAAGAGGGGTCGGAGCCAAGAGGGTGAGACTAGGACCCGTTTGTACCAACCCAGTTCTTGAAAACTAATCCTTTACTTCCGGTTAATTTTCATCCATTTCCGGTCTCTGCCTCCTCCGGTCCCGTCTGAAATTATCCTGGGGTTAATTTTTCCAAAGATTTGATTTACAAAATTGAGAAGAATAAAAATGTGCAGTATTGTATTTATTATTACTACTCAAACTTAACGCTTTAAACAAGTCCGTTGAACCATGTGGGGGGGGCGTATATGGGGTTTGGGGAAGGGGAATGCAACGCAGGCATATTTAAGCCTTGAGCACTGCGCTTTATGAATATTTCTTGCAAGTGAACTTTTATTAAATTATAAATAAATCTATAATTCAGAAATATAACAAATTGAAAATCTTTTTAAGTAAAATATGTTTGCTGTCGACTTGGAGAAAAATATTAATGTGTATGTAAATATGCTTGCGCAAAAAATACCCTGATAAGATTATCAAAAGTGAGGATGGATGAAGGATGATGAAGCACAGTTGAGACTGTACCGGGGTTTGAATTTCGCGTCATACGAGATTGCGCGCAAACGGAGAGATGCGCGTTAAACCACGGTTTCAGGTCAAAACACGGAACAAGATTTTACGCAGATTTNAACAGTTCAACAAAATGGCCGTTTTACACTTTTTTCTAGTAAATTCCCCTCTTATATATATTCTATTCTCTATGTATAGTATACAGACAGAAATTGTACTGCACTGCACCGATATAATGAACAGACTGAACTGTACTGTACTGCAATGATATAATAAACAGACTGAACTGTATTGTACTGCACCGATATAATGAACAGACTAAAATTGTACTGTACTGAACTCATATAGTGAACAGACTGAAATTATACTATACTGCACTAATACCGTATACAGACTGAAATTGTACTGTACTGAACCGATATAATGAACAGACTGAAATTGTACTGTACTGCACTGATATAGTAACCAGACTGAAACTATAATATCCCAAAGTTAGACAATGTTTATGAATAATGTAGATTCTCAGACAAGGGGAGGGAAGAGAGGCAAAGGGGGAGGGGGGAGAAGCTCTTCAAAATTAATTTCTTAAATATTTAATCTCAATTAAAAGTTTCAAATATTTTTTTTAAAAAACTTCCCCCATGACCACCTTGTAGCATAAAATTGGAGAAAAAAAAATAACAACTTTAGAGAAATATCCGTCTAACTCTTTAATTCACATCATTTAATTTTAGTTGGAACCAATTTTTTTAATTTAAGGTTCTTGAAATCATAAAAAATCTAATTTATTAATCGCGTAAATTTATCCAAAAAAACCATAAAACTAGGCGTTGCTATAGAAAGCATGTTTCATTCATTTAGAATAAAACAAAATACATTTTTGCAATTTTAATTTTTCTTGCGATCCATGCATTTCTAACTAAAAAAGGCATTTTTGTGTGTTGCGTTACCTCTCAAATTTTGAGGATAAATACTTTTTATAGAAAATAAAGATCCCTGACAAAAAATTTTTAATTGATAATATTTTCTACAACTCCCTCCCCCCCCTGTATTTGTGGTAGTTGGAAATGTCACTAGGTTTCATGTTTAATGTTAAAAACAAGGGAGAGAGATTATAGAAAGATAGACAGATAGAAAGAGATTAATAAAAAGATATAAAAATAGATAGATAGATAGATAGATAGATAGATAGATAGATAGATAGATAGATAGATAGATATATAGATAGATAGATATATATGGATAGAAAGATAAAGGATATATATATAGATAGATGGATATGTCGATAGAAAGATAGATATATAGATAGAAAGATGGTGGTTAGTGATTGGTGAGAAACAGAATTGAATGGTAGAATCGGAGGCAAAATGTAATTTGAGGGAATCGGAGGCAATATGCAATGAGGTAATCATCGGAGGCAACATTAAAGAAGGGAATGAGACAATTTATAATAAGAAGATAAGGGTCATGCAATTTTAATATTGCGCTCATATTAAATATTAAAAAAGGGGTTGAAGGAAACAAAATAAACTCTGTTGGGGGGGGG